GTTTGGAAAATGGTAGTCGAGCATAGCCGGGTGCGCCTATTACTGATAAGAAATATTTTAAAATCATGAACATCTTCGACAGGATACATAAATCCTACAGTCATAGGCAAACACAAAAGATCATAACGAGTGCTAACAGTTGACGAAAGAAAACTGAACAGACCTATAACTTTTCCATCATGCTTTCCTCCAACTGCTGTTATGTTTATAGTCATACAAGGAGTACTGCATGGAACATGACCTGTGAGTCTCTCGTCATCCAAGCAAGTGTCATCTGCTATCATTGAATCACCGTAAGCATGTGGCAGACCATATCGTGACCAGTTCTGTTAAGAAAAATACTTTTGCAGAAAGATCACTTTTCAGATCATTATGGTTTAAAAGTTGAGAACTAGAAAACTTACAATCAACGCTAACTCAGAGGCACACTGATAGCACAAGACTGCAAATGTAGTTGGGATGAAGAGTAGAATGACCAACATCAGCTAGAACAATTCTCTGAAAATAGAATTAACTTTCAAAAACCCGGAGTCTCTTAAAAAAGCTCTCCAGTATAAAAGCGTCCCATATGATTTTCATTGTTGAACGCGGAAAATGGCGATTGTGTGCCAAAAATGACTCCATTCAATACGAAATTTCAAGCCATCAAGATCAAAGAAAAGAGCGAACAAGCAAATTCAGCAGGAAAATATTTCGAGCAAATGTCAATCGATCTTAGCAATTAAAATACTTGTGCTGAGATATGAAATGGTTACCATTGAGATGTTGTTAATCAGAGAGATATGAAGATATATAAAGATGGTTGAATATGAAGAAGATGAATGGAAGTGCAGTTTATAAGAACTGTAGACAAGAGCCCCCTATATTTTTGCTTGTCTTCAGTAAAGTTAGTTGTAGACAAGAGCCCTCTATATTTTTGCTTTTCTTCGGTAAACTTGGTTGTTTAGGAAGCAAAGAACCTGTACAAAATGGAGACAAATAATTATCGATATTTGACAAAAGTAGTAGCGAATAAAATCAAAGTTCAAAAATGTTTCGTTTCGCTTTTTACCCTAGCATTAATCCTGTGCAGGCGAGCTAAAATATTTTTGAAAATTGAAAATAAATAAAGCATCTCAATATCTGAGAATTGCAGATTCTTTACCTTCTCAATGACTTCTATTTCTTT